CAGTGGGTTAAAGCCCCAACCTGCAGCGCCGGCATTCCATATGGGCGCCAGTTCTAGCCCCGGCTGCTCCTCTTCCGATCCAGCTCTCTGCTATGTCCTGGGATAGCAGTAGAAGATGACCCAAGTCCTTGGGCCCCTGCACCCGTGTGCTGGCTTCAGATCGGCACAGCTCTTGCCATTGCGGCCATCTGCGGAGTGAACCAGCAGATGGAAGACCTCTCGCTGTCTCTACCTCTCTCTGTAACTCTGTGTTTCAAATGAATAAAATAAATCTTAAAAAAAAAAAAAAGAAAATTAACTGGTACATTCCATTTAAAAAAAGTAACAGGGGCTGGCGTAGTGGTGTAGCAGGTAAAGCTGCTCAAGGCCTGTCTGCTGCACTCCAATCCAGCTGCCTGCTAATGCACCTGGGAAAGCTGCAGAAGATGACCCAAGTGCTTGGGACCCTGCCACCCACGTTGGGAGACCTGGAAGAAGCTCCCGGCTCCTGGCTTTGGTCTGGCCATTCAGGTCATTTGGGGAGTGAAACAGTGGATAGAAGATCTCTCCCTCTCTTTCTCTCACTCTCTTTCTCCTTCTATTTCTTCCTCTTTCTCTTTAACTTTGCCTTTTAAATAAATGGAATAAGTCTTAAAAAAAGAATGATGTGTCTGGCTAATAATAAATATTAGCTGTTACTCCTATAATTAATATTAGGTAGGACTTATGCTGTCATAATTTTGTTTGGTCTCTTCTAGTCTAACTTTTATTGTTTTCTCATATAACACATTTTTTCTCAAATTTCTAATTAAGAAATTTATAAACATGGAATTAAGATACCCCAAAATGAAGAGATTTGATTTTATGTAAAATTAACCTTTTTTTCCAAACTATTATCACTATTACAATGGTAAGAAATATGAACATTAGTTAAAGATATTCTAAATAAATCAGACAGGGGAAATAGAATGCAAATAAGAAAAATTATATTCTAATCAAAGATGGTATGGTTATGAATTCATCATAAATTCAAATTAAGAAAAATAATGTATATCATCTATATTAGCAGTCACACATTCCATTAGAATCGCCTTTGTTTCATATTGTATACTTAAAATTTGCAAATGGATAATCTTGTAACAGTAAAGAAATTACAACTTTGGGTCTAAAATGTATTTATCACTATAAATATGTACTGAAAATAACTGCATGACCGGATCATGTCTCAAAGCATTGCTGAGAAACTGAGAACGATTTTTTTATTATTTCACTTGAGTATTGAGCTGTATTTTTGAATTCATTTAAAGTAGCAATTATTCAAACAGTAATTTATTTGCATGGTTATTAATATATTCTATATCCCTATAACTGTCTCATTTTTTAAAAATCTGCAGGGCAATTTTTGGTTCTATATCATTGCAAACACCTGTGATGGGTAGATTTGTACCAATGGATCATAATTATGCAATTATTTTTATAGTAAGTTAGAATAACACATTTTCCTTTTAGAAGAAAGGAAAAATGAATACGATGTCATTATTTCCAAATGTCTCAAGTGCTAGGTTTGAGGATTTTGAGGGTTCGGAGAAGGCAAGAAGGCAGACAGTTAAAGTGGAAAAGACTTTATTTTGTGCCAGTTGTGGAAGGGGACAGATTAGAAGGTTAAGAGAGTGGGGGTTCATCCTGCACAGACAGAGGCAGGGGAGTTGAAGGCAGGCTTACTTCCGCTTGGACAGCAGGCAGAGTCCCTTAAAGCTGCTTGTTGGGGAAGGTGCAGAATGCCACGTGGGACCTGACGTGCAGTTAGATTCAGGCTCCTCGGGGAAGTTTACAGAGACTGCCTAAGAGGTTTGGAATGTCCCAGGAGAGGGGCTTTCCTGAGCAGTAATCATTCCACTACCCTGTGGGTATCTGCCCAGATTCACTGGGCTTGGGGGTTTAGGCCTCTCCATAGTCGAACTGTTTCAAACATCAAGGAATATACAGTTAAGTCTTAGAAACTATGGAATACTACTCAGCTGTAAAAAAGAACGAAGTCTTATCTTTTGCAACAAAGTGGAGGCCACTTAAAACCATTATGCTTAGTGAAATAAGCCAGTCCCAAAAAATAAATATGTTCTTGAGGATTTGTGGAAATTAATATACAGAGCATAAAAAATATATATAAGAGAAATTGACATTTTGAGATTTGATTATTGTTTATAGCCCTTGTCTATACTCTTGAGCAACAGTGGCTTTTCTTTTTTTCTTTTTATTTGACAGGTAGAGTCATAGACAGTGAGAGAGAGAAAGAGAGAAAGGTCTTCCTTCCGTTGGTTCACTCCCCAAATGGCCGCTATGGCCAGCACTGCGCCAATCTGAAGCCAGGAGCCAGGTGCTTCCTCCTGGTCTCCCATGTGGGTGCAGGGCCCAAGGACTTGGGCCATCCTCCACTGCCCTCCCGGACCACAGCAGAGAGCTGGACCGGAAGAGGAGCAGCCAGGACTAGAACCCAGCACCCATATGGGATGCTGATCCTGCAGGCGGAGGATTAACCAAGTGAGCCATGGTGCCAGCCGTCAACAGTGGCTTTTCTACTTACTACTTGTTGAATTCTTACTTGGAGGATTAAGCTTTGTGATTATAAAATAAACTATAAATATGTCATTGAAAAAATTAAAAGAAAGAGAAGAGAGAGGATGGGAGCAAGAGTGGAAGGGAGGGTAGTGTGCGAAGTATTGTGCTTTAAATCAATAGATATGGGCCGGCGCCGTGGCTCACTAGGCTAATCCTCCGCCTTGCAGCACCGGCACACCGGGTTCTAGTCCCAGTTGGGGTGCCGGATTCTGTCCCGGTTGCCCCTCTTCCAGGCCAGCCCTCTGCTGTGGCCAGGGAGTACAGTGGAGGATGGCCCAAGTCCTTGGGCCCTGCACCCCATGGGAGACCAGGATAAGTACCTGGCTCCTGCCATCAGATCAGCGTGGTGCGCTGGCCGCAGCGCGTGGGCCGCGGTGGCCATTGGAGGGTGAACCAATGGCAAAGGAAGACCTTTCTCTCTGTCTCTCTCTCTCTCACTGTCCACTCTGCCTGTCAAAAAAAAAAAATCTGTATATATGAAATGCCTGACATTTGTTCACCTTATTTAAATAAAAAGTTATATATAAAAACATCCTACAAGCTATATTGTGATTCTGACAAGATACAAGAAAGTTTGCAGCACACAATGTAGAAAGTCACAGTTTTTAGGTAATGAACACTTTAATAATACTTAAAAATGTAAGCACTAATCAGCTCACTATAATTCTAAATGATGTCTAGAGAAAAAATGAGACAAAGAGATTGAAACAGAAAGCCATCAGATAGGGTAAGAATTTATTGAACTCAACTATTCTCAACAACTACGTATCATAGAGCAATCCTGTGCTTTATGCTCTGTAAAACATGAGTGTACTTTAAAAAATGAAGAAAGGTGGGGCCGGCTCCGTGGCATAGGAGGTTAATTTTCCGCCTGTGGCACCGGCATCCCAGATGGGCACCGGTTCTAATCCCGGCTGCTCCTCTTTCAATCCAGCTCTCTGCTATGGCCTGAGAAAGCAGTAGAAGATGGCCCAAGTGTTTGGGCACCCAAATGGGAGACCGGGAGGAAGCACCTGCCTCCTGGCTTTGGATTGGCACAGCTCAAGCCATTGCAGCCATCTGGGGAGTGAACCAACAGAAGGAAGACCTTTCTCTCTGTCTCTCCCTCTCCCTGTCTGTAACTCTACCTCTCAAATAAATAAATAAAATCTTTTAAAAAAATGAAGAAAGGTGAGAAAAGGAGAAAGAAGAGAAGGAAGAGGAAAAGATTAGAACTCCATTCTTCATCACATGGGAGTCTTTGGGGAATTAACATTATGTTTAAATTAGGGAAATGTTTTCAATTCCTGAATCAAATACATCTAGTAGCTTCACCTGTCAGTTATAACATTAGGGAGAAGGGCTTCAAATTTCACAGAAGGACGTGGTCCACTTGGAGCTCTGGCACACAGCTGACTGTCATCATTAGGTTTTTTGCTGTCATTCTCCACAGCTACCCATGTCTTTCCCTGATCTATGGGAAGGGATTCCGTTTTATTGTTTGGCTCTGATGCACCCTTCAATCACTCCTTCTCGCCTGCTGGAGTTACCCATAACATGAAAAGTAACTTCAAATTGAGATGGAAATCTCAAAAGAAAGCTTTCTGAAAGACAAACACCAACAATGCTTACAGTAGCTTGAAATTTCCTGGAAGCGATTCTCACCATGGCTAAGGACCACACTCTGGGCACTGTGACTTTAATGGCACCATAAAAATAACAAGGCATTACAAGCCTCAATCTTAATAGACTGGAAGAAGGAGGGTGAGGCTAAATATTTAAATTACCCACATCTAACTAATGGCGCATTCAATGGATGGAAACCCATTATTCAGAGTTTTTTAGTAATCCTCCTACCTTCTAAAAGGAAGTGTGAAATAAGATAAATGACTACAATTCTTAGATTTCCTACAAAGCTCTGGGAAAAGTCATTGCAATTTTGGGCATCAAAACTTAGTGGGGAGGATAGGGGTGGAATGCAGGCACAGTTTGAATTCAGACCACAAAACGAAATAGGATCCTCATACTTTCCAACAAAGGTGTTTATTGTGGGTAATGTGAGGCATGAGGCCTGACAACCTTAGAAGTTAGAGAATGAAGCAAAGACCATGCAAATTAGAGCCAGAGGAAGTTTTTTTAGATGACTTTTGGGCCAACGCTTAAATTCTGATGTGAGAATGTGAGACTCGGATGAAATGACTTCCCCAAGACAACACAATGACCTCGTGGGACAGCAAGGTCTCCAGCCTACGTTTGTCGGCACCTCGTTGAGTTCTTGGGAACTGTGATGCATGTCCACATGGGTGACTGTGGTGTGGGAATCAGACTTGGAACAATCCTGAGAGTGTAAACTGAACCAAAAATAGAAACATGACCTCCACTTCTGCAGTCCTCAAGTCCAAAGACAAACAAATAACTTTACTCACCTACAGGGAAAAACTCGCTCATTTTCTTTTTGTAGATTTTGAAGTCAACTTCCAAGAAGACACAGAAGATGACCCGATCCACCTAGAGGCAAACAATAAATACTCAAAATGAAGAGAAATATGGGAATTGCTTTCCAAGAACATGATTTTTTTTCCCTAGAACACAGATTTTTAGTGCTATAATGATAACCACATCATATTGAATGATATTCAAGGGTGTGTGTGTGTGTGTGTGTGTGTGTGCATGTGTAATCAATTCATGGGTTTCTTGGTTGAAACAGGATACATAAATCAAATAAGAAATAAATGACAATAAGCCACTTTGCAGCAAGCTATAAATAAGATCTGAGATTCCAGTAGTATACCTAGACTTTATGACAATAAACAAGATCTGAGATTCTAATAGTATACCTTGACTTTATGAACTATAAGACAGCTGCATGAGAGGTATACAGCAGAATGACAATAAACATGTCATTAAACAAAGAGCTTTGTTCTACTCTTCTTAGACAAATATATTTATCAGACCTGTTATTATTTGAACTGGGCCTTAAATGCTTCTATGCAGTTTAATTTGTGACAAGTCACTTGCTTTAGCCTTAACATGCTTGGAAAATGCATAAGAAACAAAAAACAATTAGTTGCTGGTAACAAGAGGTCAACATGACATTTAATTTGGTAGATATTACTGAACAAGTAAACTCTACCTCAAAAATGAAATGTGTGTGTTGTTCCTTTTTCTGAGAGTGCTTGCTTCTGCATCTAAGGGGTTTCTTTGAAACATTCAGAGAGTAACATGGTAAGCAAGATGGATAGAATACGCATTATTGCTCACATATATCTGATAGTAAATCAGAAACCCGATTCTATGTCCTGAAAAAAAAGTACTTCTTTAGTACCTCTATTTTAGCAGCATAAAATAAATGTAACTACAACTGGTAAACTGAATAGAGCATCAAGTGGGCCATTTCTTCTGGCAGTAGTGAAATGAAAGCGGGGCATGCACTTGGCAGGACAAGAAAGAACCCAAGAACCAAGTGGATGTCACCCATTTAACCCTTCAGCCTGCCCACCCTGTGGCATAAAGATTCTGCTAGCCAAGTAGGACAGTTCCCAGTAGGACAGAAAATCTACAGGGACAGAGCGTGGGAGCAGGGATGTAAGGATCACCAGGGTTCCCTGATGCAAAAGCAGATTTGGCTCCCTAATCTCTGCCCACGTCTTGACCTCGTTGAGAGTGGGCTGTCTTCTGGGCAGCCAGTGGATTTCTATGTTGCAATCGCCACAGACCATGCAGTGCCTGTAAGTACCTTCGTGGGATAGAGTGTATTCACCTTTGTGTGCAGTGTCCAATCCAGCCTGCCTATTATCAATAATTTCTACGATTGCAAAAGCTGTCAGCATCCAGTCACTCCGCAAGCCAACTATAAGCTTAATGAATAAACAGTGAACTTGTGTACTGGTGAAGGCACAGCTCCATGCTCCTCAAGGAATCTCATGCCCCATGGCTGAAGCTTGAAATCATAACGCCCAGTGGCAGAAACAACTTGCAAGAGGACACATCCTCTATGGTAGCACTATTACAAATCCCTCAACCTTGGAATCAGAGCAGTGTGGGGACCCATTCGTAGGCACTGCGACAATAAACAGCTGAGAGGCTGAGGTGGCTCCAGAGTCTCAGATTCCTACATCAGTAAACTGAATGTGAAGAAGTTTTTTAAAAAAGGAACTTAAACTTGATCATCCAGAAACCGGCAACTAACCTCTTACTAAGGACTTCCCAGTAGAAGGACCCAAATAGAGCTTATTTTCTGCTCCACTTTAACTGATCAAATAGTTCCTTGACTTTGTTTCCACACTCATCAAATAAAAGGCTTCCCCCTCCTACACTTTCAAGGGAGCCCACAACCACTTACCATCTAGAGCTGCCAGATTCATGAATCAGTGCCACCTCAAGCCAACTGTTTAAAATTTGTGTATGTCTCTGTTTATCTTTGTAAAAGTGTAAAAGACACAAAAAAATGCAAGGGAACATCACACACAACTTTGGGATGAAGATCTCTGGGAAAGACAGGGGAGATAACAGAAGAGGTAGGTGGAGATGTAATTGGAAAGTTAATATTTTGTTATTTAGAAAGAAGATTTGCAAAAAAACATGGTAAAAACATTTAACAGCTATTACCTATGGTGGTAGGTACAAAGATCTCATATTTTCTTTATATTTGAAATATTTCACAATTAAAAGTCCTATAATGGATAGCAAGACTCTATTCAGCTATGTTATCTTCCTTTACACACACATGGAGCTACTTGGAGTTTCCAAACACCATAGCGATTCTTACTTCTGTACCTATTAGTATTAGTGTTTCTTTTTTCCCAGGCTTCAGATAGCTAGATTACTTCTAAAGTTACTTATTTGCAATCAAAACTCGAAACAACAAAATTTGGCTTAATGCAGTTCTAGTAAGACTGAGATGAACAGTCTTATTTTTACCATTCCCCTCCCTCTATCTCCAAGATCTTGGAGTCAGGCTCCTGACTTCAGCCTGGTCTAGCCTTGGCCATTGTGGACATTCGGGTAGTAAACCAGTAGATGGAAGAGCTCTTTCTCTGTCTTTCCTTCTCTCTAACTTTGCCTTTCAAATAAGTAAAATAATCTTTTTTAAAAATAAGATGATTATTTAGTATAAGTTAAGGGATTTTTTTAAGCATTCATGTATGGTGTGGAGGTGTGTGAATATGTGCATGAATGTGTATGTTTGAGTATGTTTGTGTTTAGGAGTGTTACTGATAATGCTATTCAGTGCAGCTAAGTTCACTTTTAAAATCTATACAGACCTTCACATTTTTTTAAAGATTTATTTATTTTTTATTTGAAAGACAGAGTTACAGAGAGAGAAAGAGAGGTTTTCCATCTGCTGGTTCACTCCCCAATTGGCCACAATGGCCTAGGCCAGAGCAGGAGCCAGGAGCTTCTTCCAGGTCTCCCACGTGGGAGCAGGGGCCCAAGCAGGGGCCCAAGCTATCCCAGGCCATAGCAGAGAGCTAGCTTAGAAATGGAGCAGCTGGAACTGAAACCAATGCCAATATGAGATGCTGACACTGCAGGCATTGGCTTTACCTGCTATGCCACAAAGCCAGCCTGCTCCCCCCATATAGACTTTAAACAAATTTTTTTAAACATTGCAAGGAATTATAATCTACCATTTAGCCCAAAAGCTCTGTTACCATGGAAATGGTTTATGTCCAGATTTCAACAGCCCAATTTATTTTCTCTGAGAAAAAATTGATTATTAGAGTGAAGCATTTTTATTTTAAAATAATTAGAGCTGGCACTGTGGCACAGTGGTTAAAGCCCCGGCCTGCAGCACTGGCATCCCATATGGGCCCCAATTCGAATTGTGGCTGCTCTTCTTCTGATCCAGCTCTCTGCTATGGCCTGGGAACGCAGTAGAAGATGGCCCAAATGCTTGGGCCCCTGCACCCACATGGGAGACCAGGAAGAAGTTCCTGGCTTCTGGCTTCGGATTGGCACAGCTCCAGCCATTGTGGCCAAATGGGGAGTGAACCAGCAGGTGGAAGACCTCTCTCTCTCTGGTTCTCTCTGTAACGCTGTCTTTCAAATAAATAAAATAAACCCCCTTTTTTTTTTGACAGGCAGAGTTAGACAGTGAGAGAGAGAGACAGAGACAAAGGTCTTCCTTCCATTGGTTCACCCCCCCAAATGGCCGCTATGGCCGGCGCGCTGTGCAGATCCGAAGCTAGGAGCCAGGTGCCTTTCCCTGGTCTCCCATGCAGGTGCAAGACCCAAGCACTTGGGCCATCCTTCACTGCCCTCCTGGGCCACAGCAGAGAGCTGGACTGGAAGAAGAGCAACTGGGACAGGATCCGGCGCCCCAACCAGAACTAGAACCTGGTGTGCCAGCACCGCAGGTGGAGGATTAGCCTAGTGAGCCACAGCGCCAGCCAATAAAATAAATCTTAAAATCAGTAAATAAAATAATTGAGTGGCCCAGTTGTCTGGCCACACCCTTAGGCGTGACACTGAAAATATAGAAGAAAATGTAATCCATGAATTAACCTTACTCATAAATAGATGCTGTGGTTGTGGTTGGACAAAAGCTCATTTGGCTGACAACTTGTGTTGACACACTCATCATGCATCTTGATCATTGCTCATGTCAGACTTTACCAAGAAGGCATGCAATGAGCTCTCCATCCCACAGCTCTTCTTACCATGTTAGGATGATACTGCCTTCTTTGAGAGGTCTGAGCTGTATCTCTTCCTATGGAATCTGAGACACCTGTGACTATGGCAGAAATAATGCTATGTGGCTTCCATATCAGAAATCAGAAATATTCATATCATAATATCATAAATATTTCTGCTGGCCTTCTTAAGAGACTCGCTCTTACATGCAAACATCACGCCATGAGGAAGAGTGCATGGTGAACCAAGGTGCAGCTGTTCTGACAAAGCCCTAGCCCAAAGTAGGTAATTTTCAGATGATTTCAGCTCCAGACCTTTGAATTAACCCAGATGAGGCCACATGGCACAGAGATGAGCCTTGCTAAACACTAATTGCAAATTCATAGGCAAATCATAGAAATGCATGGGTAGGCCCCTGACATTCTTCCAGCTTCTTCCTGTCACCACTTTTGGGATCTCTTGATTCTCCAACTATGTAGTACTTGGCTCCAGGTGAAAAACTCAGACTGAATGGATCAGGTGGAACCACACTGGGGTGATATGAAGAATATAGATGTTCTAATTGCTACATGGCTGAGAGATTGTGCCAAGGGGGAAGGGCCCCAGGTGATCCATCCCAGCTCCAGATAAGTCAGGAGAACCTACAGGAACACCTCACTATGGAGGCCTGGGAGCATGGCTTCTTTATTTTATTTTTTAGAAGTTAAACAGTAGAATAATTTTGTGAAATGTTGGTTCTTGAGAGGCTATATTCATCAGATATTAAGTGTGCACTTTCAATTAGCCCTAGCTCATCTGCCATTCCCTTACTAGAAAACGTGAATTCAGAAATCGAGTGATTTTTCTCCTCAAGGCCAAAAAAAAATTAGTGG